TATAGGTTTGTCTTGTTCTTTTTCTTACCTGCCCGCTTTTTACCTTTTTATTCCTGTCTCTTTCTATCCATATTCCTGCTAGTCACCCTCTTTTTCCTTATTGTCTTCTTCACCATTCATCCTTTGTTCTTTTTCTTTTTTCTCCTACACTCTAACCCTTAACTCATCATTGGAACCTAATTTAATAAAAGTAAAAAGCAGTACAAAATAAAATCAATAAGAACGATAACAATTGAATCAAACTATGTCTCCCCCAATTATTGTGTCTGGCCAAAGACAATCAAGTGTCGAATCAACAAACATAACCAAAGCAGGTGTAACAAAAAAAAGGTCAAACGTTTCTCTTCCAGTCTTACAAATATCGATTATCATCAACATCATCGATACATTTTTACGACATGACATTTTTTTTTATAGAGTCCTCGTTTATTTCCACATGCTTCGCTGGATGCATTTAATTTTGAATAAAATAAGACGAGATTATGCACGACAATTCCCGATTGGTCAATATCTCTTCAGCTATACTGTGGGAAGGAACATTCAAAAATAAACATGCAGCCTAATGATAAGGTCAGATAAACGTTTTGAATTATTTCTTTTTCTAAATGCTGGCGCTTACAATTAGGTATGTCGGTCTTTGTTTTATATGTTTACCTTGACAGCAACCTCCCCAAGAAAGAGCGGACGTTCTGCATGTGCCTGAATAAACATTACAGCAGTGAATCATTGAATATGATTCTGTCATATTTCGAATTCATTTTGAAAATGCATCGAGTTTTTTTAGGCATTCTTCTACGGAAACGAAACGAATGATTACGAAATTGATCAATGAGCGAATGCTAGATAAGCTTGACTACACTTCATATATATATTTGTAGAGAGGGATATGCGTGTATAAGTGAAGATATAAATAAAACCTCCAATACGGCTCAACAAAATTCAATATTTTTTTTATTCTTCTGAGCATAATTTTTCTTTCAAATTGAAAGAAATGAATTACAAACATTCTTTGCGAACAAGTTCATACGAGCATCTTTTTTTACATTACAGCCGAATGAATTGCGCTAGTATAGCAGAAAAAAAGCATCTACATGTGTTACACGTATTAAATTTTCTTTGTCTATGTGTATAAATTATAGTTATCGGCCGCATAAAATAGGCAACGGAAGCTGTTGAAGACCGTAAACATACTTAGCCTGCATGTTTTTCTTTTATGTGTCAATATCGCCATGCATTTTTGTAATATTATAATATTAGACACTCGAATAAATATGCGTAAAATGTGAGTAATAAATTAAGTGTGATAGTTTCAGTTTAGTTTGTATAATAATCGAACAGCCTAGTTAATGTTTGACTGAAATACTAGTTAGTGATGAAGAATTTATCCTATTTATAATGAAATAATCTGCTCCAGAAAAAAAATAGATTTATAGATCTCAAGTTTACTGGTTAATAAATATTTTCTCAATTTTAAAAATCTATTTAAGGAGGTAAAATATTGTTGATCATATTCTGAAGTGAGCCTCCAAAATTAAGTAGTTAACAAATTTTTATCGTCTGCAATTTCAAAGAATACTGTGCGTCTCATATGGCGTCTTTGATTAGTTAATATATATGAATACAAAGATTCAAATTATTCAAATTCAGTGTGTAAAAAATGAATTACTTTCTGCATTTCTTGTTTTGTAAAAAAAAATGATTTTTCAGTGACAGTACCTAAATCTATAGCATTTTTCTACAATTCTGAAACGTGCTTCATATATATATATATATATATATATATATATATATATATATATATATATATATATATATATATATATATATATATATATATATATATATATATATGTATGTATGTATGTATGTGTACCCCGAACAATACTAACAGCTTGATGGGGAAATTTAGTATTTCTCAGTTTTCTGTCAATTGATTGTGGCTTTTCATTGGGCTCTCCGTCTCTTGTATTTGTCTTCTGGTGTTTTCGGAGAATGTTGTTTTATCCTGGGCTGCTTTTCTCCAACTGGTTCTTTCTGTAGCTTCCATCTCCCAACTGACAGGATCGATTCCTGACACCAGCAATGTGTTTTGGAGCTGTTCCTTGAATAAAACGACGTGGGTCTCCACCAGGTCTCTTGACAGGATTTCTTTGGGTAGGCGGATTTATAGCCTTCGGGCAAGGTGTCCTGCCTATCGAAGTCGGTGGCCAGTCTTGTTTAAAAAACGTAAAACGGCAGGATTTATATTCACTGTTAGTGTAAAGGGGTATTCTTTATTAATTACTTTCCTCTTACCAAAAGGCGGCTGAAATTCGTTGTAATTGTCACGGGGAAACTAGTCGTTTCAATCAAGAGTTATTCAGCATTTATTGTCTGAAAAGTTTCACTAGCTAGGAACTTTACAGACAAGAGCTGAATTAAACCACCGACATTCTCTCGATATTCAATTCATAAAGAGGAAATTCCTCTCAGACAAGCTTTTTCTCAATAAACAGCTACTTTTTGGAACAGATTTCCACACAGATGATTCCCCATCTTTTGTCCGTGTCATGGCGGGTCCTAGTTGTAAAGATCAGGGATGACAGGACTAAGGGATGGAACTCGTTGGAAGACGTGTCATGGAAATAACGATAGAGCAGTGAAAGGCACAAAAGGTTTCGTTTGTGGGAAAGTGGTTGTAGGGTGGAAAATAATTAATCTCACACAAGGCAGAGTAAATGTTTCTGAAATTTATCAAGATAGGCAAGTGAGGACTGGGCAGCTCAAGCCGAGATATAACCGCAATTCTCTTTATTGTAAAGAGATAGTATAACGGGGAGGGTCAAATACTTACTGGAGCAGAGCACTTTGAACCAACCATTTTTCCAGCATCTTACGTAAAACGATCAGATATATGAGTCCCACTTGAGGTTTAGCGGATGCTTGAGTCCGAATAGACATTCAAGACAAGGATCCCCCCCCCTGAGAGAACACCCGTCCATCATGATAGGTGTAAGTTCGAAGTGAGATCTATGGTGGGTGGACGTTACTAGTTTCTTTTTGTCTTAATCGGTATTACCCAATGGAAGGCAGTAAAGCCACTGAGACACAAGGGATTACAGGGTGTAGAAGAATTAGGAACAGAAAGATTGATAATGGGCGGGAAGAGGAAAGAGTGATCGGGAGGAGAATAGATAGCGATTGACATTGCGTTAACATTTTTGAAGATCAAAGTTGACTGTAAAGCATAGAGCCGGAAGACAATTCCACAAGCGAGAATCTTTTAGCATAGAATTTACGGTTACATCTAGCCAGCTCAACTGTTAATTGATGAGATGCCGGCGACAGTCTAGTAATGCTCTTAAATTCGAAAAGTCTAGGTACAATAGCGAAGAACTCATTCGAACAAATTACCATGAATGTATTTATAAAAATGACGCAGACAGGCAACCTTATGGCGGTGAAAAAGAGACTGAAGCCGAGCCGTCAGGACCATTGATAATGTTTGAACCGTATTGCATTTTGCAAGCTAGTTCTTTTGCCATTGAGCCAGCCGAGCTAGGTCAAAGGAGAAATGAGCTACTAAGTTCTGGTTCTCTGTGTTTTTGGAGGTGCACCTCTAAACTGTTGTACCATCCTCATATTTACTCACTAATGATCGTGGTATGCTCTTAAGCAGATCATTAATATGCAGTGGAAAGAGGATAGCACCGAGAAGAGAACCCTGAGGAACACCAGCATTGATCTTGAAGAATTCCGATGACTGACTGTTAACGACGATTTTGTCAATTAAGAACGAAATTGACAGAGAACTTTCAGAGACTTCATAGCTGGATATATTATGTAGCAGCCTCCGATGTCAAACCTTTTGAAAGGCCTTGGATATATGCAAAGTGATTGTCCCCAATGATGAATCTATTATTTAGTGCTTCGCTGATTCTGTGAGTAATGACAGTTAAGACATCAGCTGTGGATCTCGCAGGGCGAAACCCATGCTGTTTATCACTGAGGGGAGTTGTTCCTGGGGAGGTTTTCAAATAACCTTTTATTGATTATAAATTTGAAAAGTTTGCTGATAACACTATGGAAGCATTTCTTCTTCAGACAGCGGTTGAACAGTTTTGCCAGAATTGGAGATAATGCTGGGTTGATATTCTTAAGAAAAACTAGTGGAATTTTCTCCGGATCGCTGGCGTTCTCAGGTTTATTATGGAAATATACGGCGTGATAAAGTTTTGAACATTATGAAAATATGATGTGTGCTAATTTTTAGAAATTAAACCCATGTTTTAGTAAAACATTTGAGAGCACTGAAACTCTTTATTTAGTTTGAAAATATCTGGCAACCTGTTTTTTTAAACTACGATTCACATTCAACCCCTATCTTTTGAACAGAGATATAGGTTTATCCATTGTTTCTTGTTTAGGATTGGGTTCCCAGTTCTTTCTAAAATCTACTTTAACTCCATACTTCTAATGTCTCCGTCTAAACTTTGAAATTTTCTTTTTATAAATGGGATAGATAGGTTTGTCTATCGCCTGGTTTACACTCCTCAACGGTTCTTTGAAAAAAAGTAGAGGTTTATCCTTTGTTATCCTGTTTAGTATTGGGTTTCCAGTACTTTCTAAAGTGTTCCGGTTCTCTTTCATTCCCAGTTGCCTCTGTCGTTTTAGTTGGATCAGTATTTTGCTTGGGGTGAATTGATTTAAAAAAAAGATTCATAAGTTAGTATGAATTTATGAGACGGGTTAAGTCTTTTATTTACACTCAGAGCTTGATTTAATGAAAAAAGAAAGTGAGTCCATATAATATTTACAATATTATATTTCGTTTAAATTAGAAGCATTTTGCGTATGTTAACTTTCGAATAGATTTATAACGATCAATATTCTAATATATATCGAGACAAAAGATTAAATCCAGTATGTTTTCATCTTAATGCTAGAAACTTTGAAACACAAGGACAATGTCGTCTGAGCGCTGGAATTAATTTGGACTTATTTCCCACATAATCTATTGTATGTTTCTTTTTCCAAAGTTTGAAAAAAAAACGGGTTACCTTTTTCTTTCTCAGAGAAAATGTAAGAATATATATATATATATATATATATATATATATATATAGAATAGTTTTGTTTTGTTTTTTTAGTTGTTTAATAAAGTACATAACCCCCCCCCCGTTGTTTGGCTCCTTTTATTATTATTATTTTTGTCACATGGTCATGGTTATTTTTGGTTTTAGCAATAAACACTGTTCCATAATTTTCCTTTTCAGCCACCGTTACCCTTTCCGTTTAGGTGAAACTTAGGTAGGTTTGCCTGGCTCCTTAGGGATTATCTTAGGTTTTGCTCTACTTAGTGTATTGAGCACTTTACGTAGTTGTCTTTTTACTCGTTTTTTTTTTCTTCTTGGACTTGGAGCTTAAATACTGGACGATTGTTTTCGCCTTGGTTTAATGTTCTTGGTTCTTTCTTTTTTTATTCACCATTTTTCCTCGGTACCGATTTGTTCTACTGCGAGTTGAGATATCCGAAGTTTTTTTCCAAACGAGCACCACCATTTATATATATATATATATATATATATATATATATATATATATATATATATATATATATATATATATATTACGCATATATAAGTAATATTTCACGAATAAAATATGTTAAGGTTTTTCATTTTGTATATTTTGGTGCGTTTCCCGTCTAAATATTAGTGACCAAACAGTAAATAGTGTCTGAATAAACGAAGATTATAAAACATTAAAGAGTCGTTATGAATCTCTTTCCAACATCAAATATTCCTCGACGCGTATTGCTAGATATTTGTGGTAAATTCTAAAAACCCATAAAGTCAGCCTTAAGAGGAATTCCAAAGAAAAAGACCAGTGGCCAATGGACCTTTCTCGAACAAGATAAATGCAGACGGCTTCCTTTTGCGAAAATCGACATTCCCCATTACGGCATTCCCTTATGTGTTTCAATAAAATAGAATGTCTTCTCCTAGCTCACGTCAGAGGGATTCGCAAAACATGTGAACTCTCATCCGGTAATGACTTTTATTAGAGTGTATCAAAAGTATTTTCCTTTTTTACAGGGCTTATTTCAAAGTTTACTTTTGTGTACGACAATCACTAATCTCATTATATTAGAAAATATAACTATTTTCGTTTGTTACGACCCTTTATCCAATGTTTTTTTTTAACACATTAATATTTTCATTGTAATTGTTCTCATCAGCTTTTCTCGTTGGTATGACGATTTAATGAATTTAAATGCAGTACATGGTTGGCAGTTATGTCCCATCATTTTACTGTTAAAATTGGTACGTGCGAGCGTTCCTTCACTGTTAACGTTTTGCTTTCTCGCATTTCTTTCTTTTGGAAATCTCTTCTGACTTCTTGTTTTTCTGTTAACTACGATGTTCCAAATGCAAATGTCAATCGTCATTTTCTGTCTCCTTAAATATTCTTCTTTTCATCGTATTCTGTGTTTCTTTAACTTTCAGTAACTCCTTGCATGTTGAGCAAAAAGCCGGAAGAATTTCAGAAAGCGAGACATGCAAAGGAAGAATCTATTGGCAGACTTCATTTCTAGTACGAAAATAATGACAATAAGGCTACTATATTATGATTTAAAGCAAATTCTTTTCAGCCTGCACTTGTTTTATAAACATATGCCGCGTCATAACCTTTGACCTAGGACAATCGAAGGATGTGAGTTTTTGTTGTTTTCAAATAAGTGAAGAAAAGACAAACAATAATAAAAAAAAAATATTAGATGAACAAACCTCTTCGCTATTCTTTTGGATTTCCTGAAAAAGTGGTGCACCTGGAATTTTGTTTACTCTTTACTTTACTCTTGAGTTCCTTTATTTATCAGAACCCAAGCTCCAACCACAGCAAGCGCAGTTTGTCAAGTGCCACATTTTTTAAAATTCAATTTTCAGGTTTTGGGATTTGCTTAGTTTTTCAGAAATCTTCGCAAAGACGTTTGCAAAAACCTTTGCAAAGATTTTTTTTCCACTTGGTAAGCTTATGTCAATCAGTGGTCAAATCTTTCCCCTTCTGTCTTCGATAATATTGTAACCAAGAAAAGGTCACTGAATGAGGTATAAGCAAAACGGAGGTTGGAAATGAAATGCTAATATTTATAACATCAACAAAATACAAAACTCACCAGCAGCGTGAAGTAGGTAAACCACTGCTGGTGGTGGACTACTTAGACAACATATTAGCCCCATTTACAATAGTCTCCAACCTATTTATGAGGATTGAGACATACCCATTAGTGTTCACACGTACAGCATATAACAGATAATAATGTTCGATTTGCTTGTATTTTCCGACTTGATTCTTGATAGGATAATGGCAATATCTCATCCCTCATCTACAGATTCAGGAAGATGTTTATCTCAATCTTCAGCCGTACTCATTACCTATTTGTACTCATTGGGTGTGAGTATTGAGCATCCTAAGATGAGGTGATCAATAGTTTCAATGCCGCAAGAATATACCCTTGATCTGCGTGAGCATTTTTGCTGTGGAAAAAGAACTGTCCATGGAGATGTTTTGGAATCCCGGTTTATTTTATTTAGTGTTGACCTATCTTTTTCGCTTCATGTTTTAATTTTCTTGCTGGTTTTGTGGAACTTGTATCTACTTCAGCGCTATTTTCCAGATTTAACCCAAATAAAATTGCATATTTATGGGATTCTCCTGATATACGATGAATTCGTTTTTACTTTTCCAATAATTCATTAGGAGTTAGAACTTCTAATCTTGTATAGCTGCAAGAAACATAGAGAGTCCCATTATGGAAATATTGTAAGACAGTTATAGTTGCATAATATTATTATAATTTCCTTTTATTTCTGTTGTATACACATTTCAGTCTGGGTCCCAACCAGAGACCTAAGATCAGAAATGGTCTCATGACATCTTCCACTAATCATTTTTTTTGCAAAAAAAAAAATTAAAAAATAAGATCATACACATTTTTCATAGATAAAACTCTTCGTAAATTGTATATCTTTAAGACATGTGCTACCAGGAACCACTTCAATGAAGCTATCGGAACATTTTCCTATAAATCCGAGGGCTCTAACTACAACTGGAATTACTGATGTTCTGATGTGCCACATTTTTTAGATTTCCACTTCAAGATCATTTTTGTTTTTTGAAGATCTTCAAAGATACATTACAATCTACAGGGACTTTCATCACTATATAAGGGCGATTAGATTTCATCGTTCTATCTGTGTGTATTGTCCCATAAAATTGTTACAGGTCCTGTCTATGGGTGATGCTCATACCAGTTTTTTTTTACAGTTTCCTTCCAGTAAATGTTGCATATTTCCAGTGCAGATTTTGGCCCACTCCGTCATGCCTGGTTTTATATTCAGTCTTTGCCAACACCGTACAATCTGATACAAGATGATCAATTGTTTCTGGATATTTATCACAGCATCTACATTTCCGTTTAACACAATTTTTCAGTATATGTACTTGGTAATTTCTCGTTAGCAAAAATTGGTCCTCTACATCCCAAATGATTTTTTTTTTGTTTCAGCTTTAAACCTGCACAACGTAATCACTGAGGGGCACGGAGTTTGTCTACATCAGTTTGTTTGGCACGGGCAGATGTTTATCTTGCAATCGTTTCGGCATTTGATGCATTGCATTTGATTTTGTTTTCTTTTTTAGGTTCTTTGCCATTGCAGTAAGTGCATTATGGTTTATTTGCATTTCTTCACCCACTTGAAATTTCCCTTTTAAATTTGTTGGCTCCCTTTATTATTGAATAAGGTTTCATATTTCTTTCATGTTCTTTGGCACAGATCATTACCCAATCTTTTGTATTTTCCAGGTCTCGCTGAAGACCTATTGTTGTCGTTTCGTAAGACAGTTCTAGTTGAACTAATCCTCTGCTTCCTTCGGATCTGGACACATAGAGAAATATCAAAATGAGGATGGTGCATGCGGTGGCAAGTGGGAAGCTTTCTCGTTTTGACATCCATTTGATAAATACCAACTATGATACTATTAATGATGTTGAAACAGTATTGCATCACAAAGTGTTTACGGCTGATATTCTGTTTATTGTTTTTATGAATTCAACACGGTATTTAACATCTAACGAACATCTTTTCTTATTTTCTCCTTTAGTTGGGTATATTGTATTCCATCTCCTTCGCTATTTTCTAGACACCTATAGGCTTCTTCTTGTTCCAGTTCCCTAATCTTTGTATCAAAAACCTAGACCTATTGTGTGTGTGTTTCTGTAATTATCTCTTTTTTGAATGTTACTTTTGTACATTTATCGAATCCGAAATCTATACCTATACCGTCACTGAAACATTTTACAGTTTTGAGGAGTCCCTTCAAATCATTGTCGTCTTTGGCAAATGGTTTGAGATCATACATGTAGAATAGGTGATTAAATAGTTTATTGTTTACTTTCTATCGATGGCTATTATTGTTTAGTTCATATGATAGGATTAAGAACAGACAAATAAGAAGGGGTGACCTGGAGTCTTCTTAAAAGATTCCTTGTCCTATATTCAGGCTGTTAGAAATGGCAGCGGATTTGGTGTGATTTAGGCATAATGTGTCTTTCCACATTTCCATGCTGTGTTTAAGGAAATTTATTATCACCAAGGTGTGGCACCATTTACGAGGCAGAGAAAGGAAGAGAAAGAAAGGAAGGCAGAAAGAAATGCGAGACGATTCATAGGTGATAAGCAGACACACACACGGCTAAGAGACAATGAAAATATTGATAAGTAACAAATGAAAAAGGGTGTCATTACAATGACAGGGAATTTCTGAGTAAAAAAGAAAAGGAAAAGAAAGAAGGAACCAGATGTGTTTTGATAACGGCTGTGTTATCTAGACCACTGGCCAGGAAAAATTCAAGTGAAAATGCTATTTCGATAAGTGACGAGAAACAGGCCACTAAAAGGACTTTGGACAGATATGAAAAATTAAATCCCACACAAGCAGTCTCGCTGACCGAATTCTTTTCGACGAAACAACTTTTGGCCGGCGATAATAAAAATTATGGGGGAACCAGAAGTGTT